ATGTTTTTAAGCTGGAATCTTTAAACATATTTGAGAGTTTTGTGCTGGGTTTAATTAGCTACCGATCACGCCCAAATTTAGATGCATTGAAAATCTTTGTCACACTCGTACAGCAAAGGTTGAGTAGCGCGTAAGTGAAGCAAACCTAACAGTACTGTCCTTTTCTCCTGATTTCTGGCTAGACAATCTCGGTTGTTAAAAATGTTTGCTCTCACGAAACTTGGTTTTTAGCATCACTTTTTTTTGAGTTAACGGGCGCTCATGCGCCCGTTAACTCAAAAATCATTTGTTGCAAGCTATGAAACTAAACAGCATCGCTTAATTGAAGTTCAACGGTAATCGAACGTTAAAAGCAGTGTGGTAGATTCGCGCCCAGGGAGATATAGTTATGGGGGGTTCTGGTCATCCCACTATCCTCTAGGCCCATTCCGGCTTGTTGGCGTCTTCCCGCGTCGAGAAAATAGCCCACGAACCGGCGCGTGCAACCCCAATCGGCACGCGCTCAAACGACTTTGCTTTTCTGTTCGGTGCGGAGCCACTACATCAGCTCCCACAGCTGATGTGGTGGCTCTGCTGTGCATGATATTCAAAGCAAAGATTACACGCAGCGGGGTCTTCGTGCCAGGGCCTCCCAACTTTCCACTGAAATTCTCGCCGAGCTACCTTTTGGAAATTAGATAAGCGCCCCAAAAACGGTCTTTTCACCCGATTTAAAGCTCAAATTCGGATTCTACGCGTCGAAAAGGCCTAAAATATGCAAAAACATGGAAATCAAAATTTGCGCAGACACTGCGTCAGAGACTAGGTTCGTGTGCACGTACATCCCCTCTGCGGAGTGGAAGGAGCTGTAAAGAAACGCATCATATCTCTATTTGCTGACAATCTGTGTCCTTCCTGTCCTAGCCCACCTTTCGGAGGCTATACTACCCTGATATCTTAGCGCAGTGAAAGACAGCGCAGTGATCATGTAAGCTGAATTTTTCTCATGGTTTTATATAATTCTCTTGAAATTCACATGGAATCTCCGCTGTTTTTAAAAGTCATTTACCTTTCCTTAAATTCAAGTTGTAGAGGTTAAGGATCATGACTGTTCTATGCAAGCTTATTCCGACTTGGAGTTTTTCGATTGACCTTAAGTAGCAAGAAGTGGCTCATCGAAGAATCCGTAATTCCGGGATTCGAGTCACTTCTCCCTTCGCCGACCATGCATACACTGTCACACTAGATTTTCAATACAACTTTGGGATGTTTTTGAGTTTGCGGAAAGATAAATGATTTGGAAAAGAGCGATGATCTCTTTAGTATCCCCATGGAGTTGCAATGCGTTTTCGTTCATTATGCTAAGGTGGTAGAGTAGTAAAGCCTGCGAAAGTTGGGTATGTCATGCGGGACAGAACCTCGAAATGGGACTATGAAGTCAGCGGGGATGTATTTGCATGCCTTGGTTGCAGTTATTTACTACTTTTTTTGAAGGTCAGTACAAAATGATTCTGCAAAGTCACTGAGAACTGTTTAGTGCGTGAAGCTGTTGTTGTTATGAAAAGGGAACTGTTCTATTGGGTTTGATCTATCATTTATTCAGCTGCATTTCTTTGGGAGCATAAGAAGCCAGACATAAATTCAGAAGCGCAGTTGAACATGGCAAAAGCCATGAATTGCAGACTTCAGCGATTCTCTAAACCCTCTCTGTCTGTACTGCAATGCAAGTATAACCATTCAAGATTACGAGAAGCTGCGCGATTGCGAAATCGCCATTAACACCGCAAAGCAATGTCGTGATTGCCATTTAGTTAAAAATGCGACAATACTTTCGGAACAATCTAATAAATTGCATACTGTGAATGGTGGTTCTCGGTCGAGTTCAATTTCTCAGAAAAGACACAAAATAAGTCTTGGTTAGATTTCTTCGACATTGCTACAACAAAAAAGGATCGTCCAACACCAGTCTTGAATGTACATGTTGACTGTACCAACCAGCATCGGTTATGCGACGTCGCTGCGGCAACTTGCGACGATGTGGTGTGAAGCCTGCGAAGTCGGCTACGCGTTAAAGGCAGTGGGTCAGCAAAATGGACCCTTCTCGGATTGGTGGATTTAGGTATAGCCCTGCAGGATTGCGAGAGTCGGACGTGCGTACGGCCATTGCGCCGCGCACGTCAGATGTGCGTCCGCCACTCAGGTAGGTGCCAGACTTATGTTGAACAGGTTCATTCGGTTCACCACCCTTGTTGTTGGACAGTGTATGATTTTGACCTATGGACCGAACAAACCGGCTGAAACAGATAAGTCTGGCGTGGACCACTCAAGTACACTGTAGCCCAAACCCCACTTGCCAAATCATGCGCTAAGTCGAAAGATGCGCTTCAAACTCCACCAGCCCCGCCCCTTTCCATTGAGTAAGCGGGGCTGGTGGAGTTTTGCCCAACAAAATCTGAGAAGGGTCCATTCTGCTGATCCACTGCCTTTAAAGCGCTTTGCATCCGGTGCGTCATCGAAGGCATACCAGCACGGGATCGATGCTGGTTGGTACAGCCTATATATATATTAAAAAGTTTCTTGAGCACTCTTTCTTTTTGAACTTGGAAGAATTCGGTGAAAGATCCTTCAAATTTGATGCATAAAAATCATTGGGGTTCCTGACTTCGAAAACTTTTCACATTCTTTTCGAGAAAAGTCGTTGCTTTCCGCTTGATATTGAACCAAATAACAAATATTTGCAGGTTACGTCAATTAACTTTGTATTTGAGTACGAAGATGAAAAATATGTACAAAGTGTGAATAAAGGACCAACGACGTACTGCCAATGCTGACATCCTCCCACATGTTCCGGTTCTTCCGTAACGCATCTTATATTTATGTACTTGTTCATTCTCATTCTCTCTTGTTTCTGGCAAGCTAAAATACTTCTTACAAGTTTTGACAGAATAAATGTTCTTTATGTACCTGTTACTGAAATAAGTATCAACAGCAACGAGACTTTCATGTGTATTGTCAGCAGCGCCTTTTGGGAACGTGGAGGAGATGTAGGACAAATACTTGAAAACTATGAGAGAGTTAATTTGATTGAAATGGCTTAAAACGGATTGTTCATTTGAGTGCGAACGACTATATGTCACATAATAACGTGGCGAAGTTACCGAAAATGAATGAGAAGCAAGAAAGATCCACTTTCAAAAACCACAAGAATATGACACGACAAGTCTTATTAGGAATGTTTTTCTTATGCTTGAGAGAAATTTGTGTTGCAGTAATTGTATATGGTGTCATAATAGAGCTACTATAATGTAAGGCCTAAGGCATACTTCACGCGATTCGGCCGAATCGCCACTTTCACGCGACTTGACGACTTGCCAGATTTCTACAATTTTATCGTGCGCGCTTCTCGGACGCATATTTGGGTAGCCTGTGTAAGTTGTTGCAAACGGAGTAATTTCTGACCAAAGACAGCGCATTAACGACGAATTACGAAGAGTCGCTGCTGTACCGAATCGCGCAGCGCCCGGAATCGCGTGAGGTATGCCTTAGGCCTAAGAAATAAAGGAGGTATTTTTCTCAGACCATCTAGAAGCCTTAGATAATCAAGGTAATTTTAATTCCATTTCATGATAAAAGTTTTAACCTTAGCTGCTAGATTTTTGGCTTTAATATGTTCCATTGTTTTTATTGGTCCCCTCAATATGGTCTGATTAACATAAAAACATGCAGAGTAGATCCGTTCCTGGAAATTCCAAAACGCCACCTGGATTTGGTATAAAAATATCATTTGGGAGCCTGTGAATGATTTTACACCTCATAGGTCAGAGTGCGATTTGTTTGGAAGATTTAGTTGTGGTTTGGTATTGAAAATGAATACTGATCATGACAAATCAAAGGAATGACTCATTCGTTTAGCTACATCAAGCTACCATAGCTGTGATGAGCCCAAAAGATTTTTAATTGTCACAGGAAAAAAAGGAGAGGTAGCAATCATGAGACATGGGCAGTTGCGTGGGCATGAATGCAATATTTCGCGCATGCCATAAGCGTGTTTCACTCTATTTTATCACTGTTCTATTGTGTGCTAGTATATCTATTTGCACTTTGTATACTGCGGATAATACTTGGAATGGACGACGCGCAATTGAAAATTGACATGTCATTGCACCCAATGACTTTTGATGGCCTACAAAGGCTTATTGTAGCGATGACGGCTGGTTTGAAAAATGGACCAAGCAATCTTTTCACTCACTCTTTCAGCTTCTGTTAGGAATGGTGCTCGATTAGTTACTGCTCTTTTCAGTACCGAAAACGCAGGTGGTGGTTTAACCGCGTTTGTGCGGCGTAGCAGGAGTTCTCAAAGCGTAGCCGCTCTTCCTCGTAGGGATGCTCGGCACCTCCAGAAATCCCTTTAAAGACATCACACCTTCTCGGGGTCAAAAAGCGGCTCCCCCTATCGCTCCTTCCTTTGGTTCCCTCATTCTGAATTGTGTACAAGCAGTGTACGACGCTGCTTGGACACAATTCAGAATGAGCCCGCTTCAATATATTTGAGGACAATAGACCTAAAATCGAGAAACAAAAACTTGGATAGGTTTCTATAAAAGCTTAGAGTCTGTAGATGACCGTAGTTGAGTTTCCAGCATTTCGAGCTACGTTTTGCTCATGTCTTCGGATGAAATGAGGCTTCCCTAAAAACTTGTGAGTGTCCGCTTGAGTAAGTTTCTGACGAATATCGTACATATGAATCAAGCAGAAGTTATGAGTCTCCCAATCAGAAGTTAGTCAATTTTATGTAAGTTCTAAGATTCATCATGACTTATAATAACGGGCTAAGGGTTGTTTACGTGTTCTGTGTGTGTGTGTGTGTGTGCCTGTCCGTTACGAAATTCGTAGAGCGAGTTCCAGCCAACCTCTTGAGCCCAAATTTTGCAGGGCGCATGCTAGCTGCATGATAGTCCGCTGGGCAAAAACACGAGCGATCCGTTGAGTGGATCCCAAAAAAATTGCGCTTCGAACAAATCCACTTGGCTTCTGGCCAAGCAAAATTGGGCCTATACCACCACTTCTTGCAAAGTCATGGATATGATTAACAAGCTAATGCGCAAGCTGTTGTGTTTGCCATGGCGTGTGTAGGAAGACCATTGGAGACCGAGTTCTTTACTTGACGACAAGGAACTAAGAATGAACTATACTTACTAAGAAATGTCTATATATAGTGCACAGGACTATATCACATATCATAAACAACAGATCAACATATTCGTTCATTCTTCTCAAGCGCTGGTTTCTTGTGCGGCTGCACAACACCTCCCCTTCTAAGTAAAACGGTGGGTCCTTTCCGCGTTGAGGACTGAGTTGATACTTCATCTTCTTACGTCGCACACTATGTTTCTCGTCAGCTGAGTACAATGGACCTGGAGCGATGTGAACTTCATATTTAGTGAACATCTCACCAAAAGAAAAGTCATCCAAAATTGGGCTCGATATATTGCGACAGTGCATGGGGAACTTCTGCATTGCCTCGGCTAACGTATCCTCCCTTATCGGCTTGAATACCAGGCACTGGAAGTTGTCGACGATTCTTTCGGGCTGTTCATTGAACTGCTGATGCGAGTATGTCGAATTTGTCGGGTTTTTTCAGAATCGCAAAATTCGGCTCTCCTGAATTGAGTAATATCATAAAAAACAGGTAAAACAGGTACCTGCGCATTTCCATATTGAGTGAACTTTGAACGAGTTTTGCCGAATATCTTGCTCGCATCCTCTTTACCGAGCACAAAGGCAGCCGTTGCCTTCGTGCCGTCTTCTATTTTGGGTTGAAAGACTTCTGCGAACTGCGTTTTCAGGTGAGTTTGCTTCTTGTCAAGTGTATCGTTCGTAGCCGTCACTGCATTTACATTGTGACAACCGATGTCGTAGTAAACAGCAAGGTCGCTCTGGTTCCAATACTTTTCAAGTAGAGGTGGCCCATCAACGGCATTTGTGGTGCCATTCAAGCTAATGCCATTTAGCGCATACTCACATGTGCATTGTCCATGGCATGTAATGCTGGTCCCATTTGCCGCAGTCAGATTATGTTTCGGGTTTTCTAGCTTGGGTCGGCCAGTCCTGATCCATGTGTCGCGATTTTCAGCTCCACAGTCAAGTCGCAGCTCGATACTTGTGCTGTTAGTTTTCACATTGCAGTACGACTTCGTTTTTTTAGAAGGTGAGATGACGACAGGATGGACGTCCTTGGCTCCATCGACAAATAGTTTACGTAGACAGTACCTCTCTAAATATCCACGCTTCTTGCAGTAGTTGCATTCAGTGATCGGCTTCTCGCACTTTCTGGTCCTATGGGTCTTCGGGTGCCTTCATACCGCGCCGGCAGCCGCCGCTAGCAGCCCGTAGCAGCCCACAGCAGCCGCCAGCAGCCCGTAGCAGCCCGTAGCAGCCCGTAGCCGCTGCTGGCCGCTTTTGTCATACAAGCGCAAAATCATCAAATTCTTACTATTTTAAATGCAACCGCCCACGCCCTCCATCCTCCACGCTTTTTCCTCCCTGTTGCCGCAATTTGGTCTCATATATCATCATACTTGTGTCCATTGTTGTTATTATCTTGTTACGGTAGAATGGTTATCCTATTGATGCTTAGTTTCCCTTCTCGCAAATGAACCATATTTCACCAAAGATTCTTCGCGATGTGATTTCTTCTGACTTTGGATGCGTCCAGTTGCTGCAGGTTGCTATTTGTTAATTTTTAGGATGTTCTGCTTCAATCATATCACATCGGCGTGGAAGAGGGAAAGTATGGGCAGGCGCACGCAAAGCACTAAGAATTTGATGATTTTCGCTTCCATGACAAAAGCGGCCAGCGGCGGCTACGGGCTGCTGGCAGCTGCTACGGGCTGCTGGCGGCTGCTGGCGGCTGCTGGCGGCTGCTGCGGGCTGCTACGGGCGCGGTATGAAGGCACCCTTCGCTCCGTAATTCATACAAAGATGTGTTCTGGGCTTGTGACCGATGAATGGCTTCCGCTTCTCGTCTCGCTGCATCGCGTTGACTTGCGGGTTGTCGCTCATCTGATTCACGCTGACTTGAAGTACCTTGGCTTTGTCGATCATCTGTATGTGATTCTGCAGTTCCAAGTAGTCTTTGTACTCTTCGTTGGATTCTTGCTAGTTCAGCCATGGGTTCTCGACAAGACTTCCACAGTTCCATGATTTGCTTCATTAGAAGGTGGATCGTATCCGTGTTCGAGCTTGAGTTCGGGTCCTGATTGAATTCTGGTAGACGAGTAGCAAGTGCATTCATCACGCAATCCTCGCTGGATCCTTGTTTCTTCCTCACTTCTTTCCACAGCTCCATGATTTGCAGCATCAGAAAGTGGGTGGGGTCTTTGTTGGGGGTCGGGTTCGGGCTCGGGTTCGGGGTCTGATCACCAGTTGTTGTGTTTGCCATGGCGTGTGTAGGAAGACGATTGAAGACCGAGTTCTTTATTTGACGACAAGGAACTGAGAATGAACTATACTTACTAAGAAATGTCTACATATAGTGCACAGAACTATATCACATATCATAAACAACACATCAACAAATTCGTTCATTCTTCTCAAGCGCTGGTTTCTTGTGCGGCTGCACAACACAAGCCATGGACTTTAGCCCATAAAACCGAACTAAAGTTGATTTCTTTACGGAAATGGCGCTGAAAAAAATTAGTTGCGTAAATGTTCAATTTGCCAAGATTTTACCTAGTCATTTGGGAAGATTTTTGCACAGAGATGTAACCCACGGTGATCATCGTCGTTATGGCGACTACCAAATCATAAAAAGTCCAAAAACCGGTTCAAATTTGCATTTATTCTTCTCGGAGAACTTTCATTCATGCGAAAATACCGATTTCACACAAAAAAGCTCTCGGAATGAGTAGTAGTTTACAATTCATTCGTGATAGCCTACATATCGAGGTATATAAGTTTCAATGTCACTATTATGCGCGAATGAGCAAGGCATACAGAAAGTAGGGCCAGTGCGAGCCTCTGCGAGGTGACGCACTGGTCTATGAATATAGCGAATTAGAATACCTTGCAATTTAGTGTTTGGAACTCTTAGCCAGCTCTTCAATCACACATGCGACAGAAGCTTGGTATTTTATTACATCGATTGTAAGACTTTCTAACTTGAAGATTTCTTTTTGATAATTTGCGTCTTGTAGTAGAGGTAGAGCAGTTGAAATGAAAAACTCATTTGAATATATGACGGCAGACGAAATTAGGAAAACATATGTGTTCCAATATTCTAAGTTGATGAGAAAAGTTGGTTCTGGAAACTTGATATACTCCTTTTAAAATAGGTTCTTTTAATGATGAGAAGGTATCGGAGTTTTAACCACTTCTGTTCACTCAGTCATTCAAAACTGCTGGTGCTAAATCACTTCAAACAGATGAGCAGTGGTTGACAACTGAACAGATACTAATATTTCAAATGAATTTTCTATTTAAGATCCTGTGCAATTTATTTCTGGTGAGAGGGATGGCTTGGCAGAAGTTCCACTAGAGAAACATTAACCATGTTTTTGGTTCTTCTCCATTTTCTCCCTTATTACCTTATTTTCTAGGTTTGCGACGCTTGCATACCTCACAAGGAGACTAGTAAATGGGTAGAGCAAAGGCGGGGCCTGACCTCTGAAGCGCGTAGGTGCTAGAACCCTCCTGTGCGCGAATGCTGGTACGAACGTGGTGCAAGGAAAGATGCTGGGAACTCCTGCACGCCCTCCGAGTAGGGGTGTATGCCAATAAGAGCGAGTCTTTTGCCAGATGCACCGATTAGCGCATTTTTAATACTTTATAATGTTCTAGGAACTTAAATTTCTAAACGAATATGTATGATTGTCCCATGGGTTGCTCGATCTTATCATTCTGAAGTAAGTACAAAACATAAGTTTTGCGCTTCAAAAATTCTTCGAAATGCAATTAATTGCGTTTTTGTGAATTTTTCTATCAAGTTTCCGCCGTCAAAGCCGTCAAACTTAGCAAGAGATGCTTCAGAGAGTTAGTAAGCCAGAGCAATTTGCCAGATGTTATTGAAAGACTCGCGAGTTCCAGATGTGTTTAGCTGTTGACCTTTGAGCTCGTGGTAATCCCCGTCGTGATGGTCGCGACGTTCGAAACATAGCACGTACCCAGTACGTGTCGTTTCGGCTGCGATTCGTCCGGCGGCTATTTCTTGTCACGGCGCGCGGCGAAATCGCTGGACGGCGTGACTGCAGGACGTGCTGTCCTCGTGCGCAGAGGACAAGTACTTCGACAACCAAGGGGCAGACAAAAAAATAGTGCGCCCACAGTGGAGACGCAGGAAGGTGCAACCGACTAGGCGTTGAATACGCCGTGTTCGTCCTGTGCGCTGTATGCATACTTTCGAGATATGTATAGATGGAAACGTTTAGAAAGCTTTGAGTGTGCGCTGGTGATGCTTTTGCTTACCATGCTCTTTGTATGGAATGTGCCTTGTTCTTTAGACATTTTCATCTGCTATGTTTGATACTCTGCAGCACGCATAAAACAAATCGTGTGCTTGTTCGTGATCAGGTCGTTATATGATTCTTGGAGTCGCATGCGATGTGCGCAACTTTGTGTAGGACTAAGACGTGCGGAGAACATCAACGATACTGAAGAACAAGGCACACACTGGAAACGCGTTCTGGCGTAATAAAGCACGGTAAAGCAGTGCGATCATTTTATTTCATCTTCTTTTCGTGCTAACCAAAGACGACAAAAAAACCACAGAACTGAAGAGCTTCCGCCCGATACTGAGCTTTTTTGTAGTAAGGAAGATGGCAATGCAAAACATATATCATTGACTTACATAAGAAATTTGGAATATTGTAATTCAACCGCTACTTTGGTTGGTGCGAACACGAGCTATTTCATTAGCCATAACGCCAGAAGGTTCCCTTTATCAAATTGGAAGGGAGACATTTGAAGCATGGCTGACGAACAGCAGTTCAGCATATAAATGTTAAAAAAGGTGCTTAGATGGAAGAAGTGAGGGGATAAAGACATGCAGAAGGAAAATTTGGTGCGCAAATGAGTTGCGATGCGAGAGTAAAAAGAAAAAATAGTTCAAATACTGTAAGATACGAATAAATATTTGAAGTAAATCGTAATTACAATAAACTTACCTTTTCAAATTACAAGAGATATAGCAGCAGAAATGCTTAGAAAACGAATAATTCGCTCAGCGCGTTGACATGAGCGCTTATCAGCTGTTGATATCGATTGCATTTGACGTTAAACCTAGTGATGTGTGCCTACTGTCCTTACTAGATTTTCAATACAACTTTGGGATGTTTTTGAGTTTGCGGAAAGATAAATGATTTGGAAAAGAGCGATGATCTCTTTAGTATCCCCATGGAGTTGCAATGCGTTTTCGTTCATTATGCTAAGGTGGTAGAGTAGTAAAGCCTGCGAAAGTTGGGTATGTCATGCGGGACAGAACCTCGAAATGGGGCTATGAAGTCAGCGGGGATGTATTTGCATGCCTTGGTTGCAGTTATTTACTACTTTTTTTGAAGGTCAGTACAAAATGATTCTGCAAAGTCACTGAGAACTGTTTAGTGCGTGAAGCTGTTGTTGTTATGAAAAGGGAACTGTTCTATTGGGTTTGATCTATCATTTATTCAGCTGCATTTCTTTGGGAGCATAAGAAGCCAGACATAAATTCAGAAGCGCAGTTGAACATGGCAAAAGACATGAATTGCAGACTTCAGCGATTCTCTAAACCCTCTCTGTCTGTACTGCAATGCAAGTATAACCATTCAAGATTACGAGAAGCTGCGCGATTGCGAAATCGCCATTAACACCGCAAAGCAATGTCGTGATTGCCATTTAGTTAAAAATGCGACAATACTTTCGGAACAATCTAATAAATTGCATACTGTGAATGGTGGTTCTCGGTCGAGTTCAATTTCTCAGAAAAGACACAAAATAAGTCTTGGTTAGATTTCTTCGACATTGCTACAACAAAAAAGGATCGTCCAACACCAGTCTTGAATGTACATGTTGACTGTACCAACCAGCATCGGTTATGCGACGTCGCTGCGGCAACTTGCGACGATGTGGTGTGAAGCCTGCGAAGTCGGCTACGCGTTAAAGGCAGTGGGTCAGCAAAATGGACCCTTCTCGGATTGGTGGATTTAGGTATAGCCCTGCAGGATTGCGAGAGTCGGACGTGCGTACGGCCATTGCGCCGCGCACGTCAGATGTGCGTCCGCCACTCAGGTAGGTGCCAGACTTATGTTGAACAGGTTCATTCGGTTCACCACCCTTGTTGTTGGACAGTGTATGATTTTGACCTATGGACCGAACAAACCGGCTGAAACAGATAAGTCTGGCGTGGACCACTCAAGTACACTGTAGCCCAAACCCCACTTGCCAAATCATGCGCTAAGTCGAAAGATGCGCTTCAAACTCCACCAGCCCCGCCCCTTTCCATTGAGTAAGCGGGGCTGGTGGAGTTTTGCCCAACAAAATCTGAGAAGGGTCCATTCTGCTGATCCACTGCCTTTAAAGCGCTTTGCATCCGGTGCGTCATCGAAGGCATACCAGCACGGGATCGATGCTGGTTGGTACAGCCTATATATATATTAAAAAGTTTCTTGAGCACTCTTTCTTTTTGAACTTGGAAGAATTCGGTGAAAGATCCTTCAAATTTGATGCATAAAAATCATTGGGGTTCCTGACTTCGAAAACTTTTCACATTCTTTTCGAGAAAAGTCGTTGCTTTCCGCTTGATATTGAACCAAATAACAAATATTTGCAGGTTACGTCAATTAACTTTGTATTTGAGTACGAAGATGAAAAATATGTACAAAGTGTGAATAAAGGACCAACGACGTACTGCCAATGCTGACATCCTCCCACATGTTCCGGTTCTTCCGTAACGCATCTTATATTTATGTACTTGTTCATTCTCATTCTCTCTTGTTTCTGGCAAGCTAAAATACTTCTTACAAGTTTTGACAGAATAAATGTTCTTTATGTACCTGTTACTGAAATAAGTATCAACAGCAACGAGACTTTCATGTGTATTGTCAGCAGCGCCTTTTGGGAACGTGGAGGAGATGTAGGACAAATACTTGAAAACTATGAGAGAGTTAATTTGATTGAAATGGCTTAAAACGGATTGTTCATTTGAGTGCGAACGACTATATGTCACATAATAACGTGGCGAAGTTACCGAAAATGAATGAGAAGCAAGAAAGATCCACTTTCAAAAACCACAAGAATATGACACGACAAGTCTTATTAGGAATGTTCTTCTTATGCTTGAGAGAAATTTGTGTTGCAGTAATTGTATATGGTGTCATAATAGAGCTACTA